GTGTACACAACACAGCAGCCGTCAATGTGGCCTCAAGTATGAACCTAATGCACACGCATGCACGCACACATACACACAAACACACACGCATACGATATGTCTCGTTCGGATATAAACGAAGATATCGGAGTAAATTTGAATATATACAAAGATACAATTTTCTGGAACGGGGGAGCGACCAGTCTAAGTGTGGTGGTGGGATTCGAACACACACATTCCCCGGGGTGATAATTTAGAGACTTTACCAACGGGCCACTATCACAAGACCACANAGTTGGTGGTCTCCACGTAAGGCGGTGCCGTTTTTTGTGCGAGAAGTTCGTGCACACACACTAAGCGTTGGGAGAACCAGACGCACGCACCTACGCACCCATACATTTACACACACACACGAATACGATATGTCTCGTTCGGATATAAACGAAGATATCGGAGTAAATTTGAATATATACAAAGATACAATTTTCAGGAACGGGGGAGCGACCAGTCTAAGTGTGGTGGTGGGATTCGAACACACACATCCCCCGGGGGTGATAATTTAGAGACTTTACCAACGGGCCACTATCACAAGACCACAATCAAACAATCATATTTATCACATCAGACCGTCACACTAATTTGACAATTTTGAATCACATATATATTTATATAGTTGTATTGGCCCGAAGGGAAAAACTTATCGAAAACAAGGATAGCAACATTCAAAAAAAGTTCATTAACAATGCTTGATCACTCCAGCTGGTGATTAGACCAGTCACATTCGGTTCCAGATTTGGATCCATATCAACAAGATCATTTTAGACAGTGAGTATTTGGATTAGCCTATTTGGTTTTTCACAGACACCACGCACTGTTGATGATCTTAGATGTGGGTTTTACACCTTGGTATATCGTTAATTCCTCACTAGTTGAATGCAACAGTGTCTGGTGCCTCTGAACAATCGAATGGATTAATCCAAGCTTCATACTCTAAGTTGATTGAGTCATTCGCACAAGGTGATAACCGTCGACCGTGTAGCTCAAGGGTAAGGGTTTGAAATTCCCAACCCGAACGTTCGCGGTTCGAGTCCTGACACGGGGACACAAAAAGTACGCACTGCAGACGAGTCCCCCAAAACAGAACGAAATAGCTCTATCCGGTGCACTCTTTATTGGTTATCACAAACATTTCCATCGCATTTAAAAATGCATACAAACAGTGTGGAATCAACGATCTTCTAAGGAATGAAACCCACACCGAAGACCATCAAGAGTGCCCGGTGCCTCTGAACAATCGGCTAGGCTAATCCGAGCTTACTACTCTAAAAATGAACTTTTTTCGAAGGAAAAAGCTGATTGATTGTATAATAGTGTCATACAATTGCTGAGTTCAAGATTGTCCTATTTTCAACAGTTGAATCAATGTGACCTTGTGTGTGTGTGTGTGTATGAATAGATTGATTAAGTGAATTCGGATGGCCGATAATTTGAGCATAACCAAACACGTACAAATTGATGAAGTGCGATCACACAGCACTCAATCTACCAATTGAGTGAACATACCACTTCCTGTTTGTCCAGGTCGAAGAAAAGAGTTCAGTGCGTAATCCGTACTCGAAGCCTTTGTTTGGGAAATCGAACCTGCAAAGCAACAGACCGAAGCTCATAGTCTGCAGTCCATTTGAGAGGAAAAGGGGGTCGGAGGGGAGAGACACAATGATCTTTTCATCACATTTTGTAGACGGGGTGCTCAATACATTCCAGATAAAAATAAATCATTCATCTTGGAAGTGTGATTGAGAACATGTGCGTGACTGCATTCTCTTTCAGGTTACTTTAATTGTTGCATTCGCCTATTGCTCCCAGATATCCAGTGATACAGTGAGAACTGTTAGATTGCATTATTTTGTTCTCTGGTTCCCGGGTTATCATCTCTGCGTAATTGTTTCGTACACGGTTTGTAAAAGAACCAATGAGGGTTACTGTGGTGATCGTGAAACGAGTACACGCCCGCACGCACCACGGTACAGCTTTCAGGTAGCCAATCAGGAAACGGATTTCCCGGCCAGTCCTGTGGCATCGGTCGGATTGGTTGAATGCAAGAAGGCAACCAAATGAGCCGTACCGCTGTCGATTGGACATTGAAGAATCAACCAATGATTATTTGATACTTGTGATATTTATTTGTATGATTTTTTGAATAGAATTCACTGCATCCGCGGCTCGTCTTGGTTCTACATGACTTTGCGCTGCTATTCAGTAGGTTCTCTATCCGAAACCGAGTTCGCGCTCTATTCGATTCCGATTCGTAATCCGAATACTACAATTACACAGGTCTTATGAACATAAAACTCGCCCCGAACATTTGAATAATCGTTTTCGTTTGGCGCAAGATTTGCCCTTCTACTGGTTGTGTGCGTCCGATTGCAGTTCTCTCTTTCTCGCTCTGTATTACCGCTTCCGGTGCATAGATATTTCACTAACCAATTAGAGCCCAGTAGGCAACTTCTAATCATTCTTCATTAGAGACTATCATTCACATGAGCTGATTGGTCTCCACCTGGTCTGTTAGGCAACGCAAATCTCATTTGCTGCTCCGGAGAGTAGGTTCGAGACAAGCAAACCTCGAAGAGTCATTGTGATAATTCTGTATCGCATACTTTACGAGCGGCAAGGACCGCCAAGGCCGATCGTGTGCTTCTGGAAAATTTTGTCCATTCGTTCATTTACTACTCAATATAAAAACACTGACAATAGACCCTGGCGTCGAGTGGGCTGAGGTTAAACGCATCTAACTCACAACATTCAATACAGACACGCTGCAGTGATTCTTCGCGGCTTGTTTATCTTCAATCAACTCCCCGAGCTGCAAATGAGATTTGCGTTGCCTACTTCACACAAGGGGCGGGAAGTGGGCGGGTCAAGTATATGAATGATCAGAAAAAGGATTACCGGATATGCATACCTGACGAGGAAGGAAACCAGTCGTGTGCTCCCGGGAAACTTTGTGCAGTGATTCATATACTACTCAATAATAAAAATTAGTTGTTCTCTGTCTTGATCGATCACACTTGTAGAACTATGTCTCAGCAAACGTACGCACAACTTAGCTTGTATCCGTTTCAATTGAAAGTGAACCCGATAGAGGTTATAGACAGTGGCCATACAAGTTGCTGGTTCATGACGCTATCCTCGACTTTGGAGTGAGTACAATCGGCTGCAGTATACACTCAGTCAGTCAGTCTGCAATAATCGCACCTGCTCAAGGTCATCACTTTGCAAACACCCTCATTAACGTCATCAATTTGACCACATGACCCAGTATGTCTTGGATCTCATGGATCAACTAATTTGGATCTATGCGTGCATGACAGCTTTCAATAGTCTATCGATATGAATGAAAGGTGTGCTGGATAGATTGTGAATCATATTGATGATCCGTTTTGACTCTCCTGTACAAACTT